CTTCTCGGACGTTTTTCCCTCTGTGGCCCTGCTGCAAGGTTTGAAGATTGCTGTGACCATTGAGTGAGAAGGATGAGTCAATTTGCGGAGAGTGGGAGGGTGGATTTTAATACCAATGATAGCAGGGAGATGGAGGATTTTTTTTTTAAATTCACTCATGGGATGTGGTGTCACTGGCTTAGCCAGCATTTATTGCCCATCCCTAGTTGTCCTTGAGAAGTTGGTGGTGAGTTTAGGCAGGGAATCCCAGGATTTTGACTCAGTCACAGTGAAGGAACAGCAATGTATTTTCAAGTTGGGATGGTGAGTGGCTTGGAGAGGAACTTGCACGTGGTGGTGTTCCCATGTATCTGGCCCTTGTCCTTCCAGATGGAAGGTGCTGTCTAAGGATAGATAATGTATTCAGGGCACAAGAATCCTAGAATTGCTACATGGATTTTTTTAGAAAAACGGTCACCTATCCAGATATTTCTAGTCAACCTGTTCAGACCTTCCAGTTGCTTGCCAGTTCAACACACCATGTTCGCGGCCAACATTTCTGTCTCGGGCTTTCTGCAGTGCTCCATTGAGACTCTAGGCAAGCTTGAAGAGCACACCTCATTTTCCCCTAGGGTATACTCGAGCTTTTTCGACTCAATGGTCTTCAGTCGTAAGGAATTTGTCTCCTTACTGCCTGCTGTTGGCATATGTTGGTGGGCCACATAATAGGTCATCAAGCATTGGACAGTGATTGGAAACCGGAACTTCTGACAGAGGCAGGACAAAAACACTGCTCCACAAGACCGCCGGATATGTTGTAAAAGCAGGCTATTGAAGTTTTTAAAAATTAATTAATTCATTGCAGTCTCTGATATATTTAACAGTGGGTCATGTTGGAAAAGTTTTGACGTACTGTACATGAACAATCCTACTTAATAGAACAATTTGTATTCTCACACAAAATAGAACATAGAACAGTACAGCACACTACAGGCCCTTCGGCTCACTATGTTGTGCCAAACTTTTACCCTAATTCTAAGGTCTATCTGACCTCCACCCCTACCTTATACTCTCATCCATATGCCTATCTAATAGCCGCTTAAATGTCCCTAATGAGGCTGACTCCACTACCCTCTCCGGCAATGCATTCCACGCCCCGACCACTCTCTGAGTAAAGAACCTACCTTTGACGTCTCCCCTATACGTACCTCCACTCACTTTAAAACTATGCCCCTTCGTAATAGCTACCTCCACCCTAGGAAAAAGTCTCTGGCTGTCCACTCTATCTATACCTCTGATCATTTTGTACACCTCTATCAAGTCACCTCTCATCCTTCGTCGTTCTAAAGAGAAAAGCCCTAGCTCTCTCAACCTTTCCTTGTAAGACCTTCCCTCCATTCCAGGCAACATCCTGGTAAATCTTCTCTGCACCTTTTCCAATGCTTCCACATCTTTCCTGTAATGAGGCGACCAGAACTGGACACATACTCCAGATATGGCCGAACCAGCTTTTGTATAGCTGGAGCATAACTTCACGGCTCTTGAACTCAATCCCTGTATTAACGAATGCTAATACACCATACGCCTTCTTAACAACTCTATCCACCTGGGTGGTACCTTTCAGGGAACTGTGGGCATGAACCCCAAGATCCCTCTGCTCCTCCACACTGCCAAGAATCTTTCCGTTAACCCTGTATTCTACTTGTACAATGTACAAGGAAAGTGAATTTTAATGAGATCATAGATTAATCATGGACAGTAAACTAAATTTGCATGATTTGGACATATAAATGGTAATTATTAAATGATTATTCCATGTACATGATGTATACATTCAATAACAATGAATTTAAATTTTGAAATTTGTGATGAGAAGATCTGGGGTGGGTGGGGTGTTGGTGGTGGCAGAACCCTGCAGCAGACATAGCTGCTTTGGAGTTCATGATCCTAAAATGTCAGCTTGTAATGACCCCAACCCTGGGAAGCTCTATCCTAGGATTTTGCAGATGCACTGCTGTGCTGCACTATCCAGATCATTAAAACATTTATTTTAAAAATAAAAAGTTTGACCTGACTGTAGTATAGGAATGTTTTGCTGGCTTGCTTTTCCATGTCTATTCTTGTGCTACAGTTGTGGAGGCTTGGAGAAGATAGGCTTGGTGGTCTTGCTGGGAGAGAATGATTTGAAGGAGCCATGCTCAGTGCATTGAGATTTGTCTACATTGGGAGTCCAATGATGAAAATACTCTTGGATACTATGCTTTAGTGGCTGGGTATTAATCTTATCAGTTGGGTTCAGTGAAGTTTTACAACTAATTTCTGCCATTATAGTCTAATTACAAATAATATTTAAAATTTTTATCACACATTTTCATACATTTTTTTATTTGAAACATTAAACCAGGGATTGCCAAAGCCGGGCCCCATCAGGGATCGTGAGCTGGAGTTTTGGGGTTGCTAACTGAGGCAGAAATACTCCCCCACTCTTCCAGTGACCCTGGCCTTTGCAGGATTTCTACCCTGCTCTCTGCTCATACATGCCTGTTCACCCACTCTGAGTTCTCCGCGAGTGGTTATTATATTTGCAAGTTTTGAAATGGAGTCACGGTGAGAATATGTTTGGAAAACACTGTATTACCCACAATTGCTTTTCAAACTCCCTGTTTTGCTTTTACTAAGCTTTTCAATGAACTTGCTTTTGTAGGAATTGTACAGGGTTTCAAAAGAGAAGACTGATATTATTGTGACTTCTGGGAAAGATGATGATGAGTGGCCCTCTGGTTCATCAAAACTGACATCACAAGATTCAAAAGCCCCTTCCAAATTATCTGGGAAGAAAATTAAGAACCAAGAAGGTGAGAGAATGTTTCTAGAAATACAATGATCAACAAGGAGACAACCTGATATAGTGGCTTAGACCTTGGGATAAGGGAATCCAGTCTGGGCTAATGGGCAGGCTGTTATTTTTTTACCCTTATGAAATAAAAAGAAAGAGGCTATTTTATGTAGTACCTGTCATGACTTCAAGACATTGCAAAGTACTTTAGAGCCAATAAGTATTTTCTTCAGAGTAATCACGATTATAGTTTAGGAAACGTGGAAACCTGTCTGCATTCATAGTAACCCTATAACAGTAAGAAGGTGAATCATCAGCCAAAGTGTTCCAATGATATTAGTTGAAGTATTAATGTTGTCAAGGACACTGGAGAACTTGTTGGTCCTTTTCAGAGAGTGACATGTGATGTTTTAGATACACCTGAAAGGGCAGACTCCTTTCAACTAAAAGGCAGTAGCTTCAGATAGTACAGCATTTGCTCAGTACAGCACAAGTTTTATACATTAGAAGATAATTTTAGTTAGAGTCCAGGTCCACACTTCAAAAGACTTTTATTTCAGTTCATCACAACAAACTCACCCAAACTGGTTACTGTCTCCCCATATTTATACAACCAGCTCAGACCAGATTAATCTTTAATTGATATATCCATTACCTCTTCCCTCATTCCATTAGATCTCTGGCATTTTTTCAGACTGTCATTTGCTAGAAACAACTTAATGCACAATTGTAGTAAGGAAAGCAACAGAGCAGTGAGCATCTTCGATTTATATGCTGGATCTATACAAATTAGTAGAACACTAAAAGCCACACAAACACCCTTTCTTTCAATTAAAGCTGTTTTTTAAAAAAAAGTTTTATACATTACTGCAAAGTTGATAATGTTCGGTTTTAAATTTTTTCTTTTATAGCTAACCATACTTCCAAAAAATCACCACTTGTATCGTCAGATTCATCAACAGGAAGAGGGGTGAAGCGGAGATTAACAGCAACTGAACCGAATGGAAAGAAGGTGAAGCTCTTTCTTGTGTATTTTGTCTGTGATTATATTTTACAGAGTCCCCTGTTAGCACCTGAGGATAGGGTTTGGTACCTGTGCTTTCCACTGAGTTGCCAATTGTCACTGTACTGCCTTGCAGAAAAGTTGATGGGGAATTGTGTACTTTTCTATATGGAGAGAGGCCACTGACTTTCATGGGCTATTGGTGCCTCAGTAATCAATACTGTTTTTTTTTCCCCAAGTATGAACACTGATCCAGAGTGCATGTTTTTCAAATTTTATCTAATGACTGTGTGAGATTATCCACTGAGCACCTAAGCTGTACATAGTAGTGAGATCCTAGATTTCTCCTCAATCTGTATAGAGTTAGTTAATTGCAGTGCGCCATTAGTGGTTGTATCTAGGACTTGGGTGATGAGACAATCTGGCTTGTGTGATCACATTCCATAGCCAAATATGTGCCAAATCTTTGGAACGGACTTGATGAGCTGAAGGGCTTTTTTTCTGTCCTATAGACCTCTATGACTTCTGATTAGGCAGATTTAGGAGAGTTGTTGGTGCTTGTGAAATGATATCATAGCAAGAAGTCAAAAGGAAGTGAAGGAGGAGTAGGTATAAGGAAGAAAATTGGACACAAAGAAAAACTAATGCTGTCTTTTGAGTGGATTTTGAGCTTGTTGCGGTTCTTTTATAGAATTGTTTAGATTGAGAAACAAAGATCAAAAGGCTTAAACTGCAATAAGACAAAACAGAATTGAAATTAGTGTTTGAAATTATACCAGGCTTGCCTTTTGAACAGCATGCAGTGTCAGAAGTAAAAAAGACACAAAAGGAATTTGTTCATTTTTCAGATCCTGAGAAGGAATGAGATAAAATAGGAGATACTTTGGTGAGCCATAATTTCATTCCATTTAGCAGTGATGTGTTCATTGACCATAAAGGTACCATGCTGACCACAGTAGTGATAAGTTATTGCCCATCTCGTCTGACGACCTCTACACAAGGAAACAAAGTTTTATTGAGTTGACACATTAATATGATCACTCAACTGCATGTAAAGAAATCTGGTTAAAATACACCCTGCGACACCCAGAGTTTAACTGAAAATATCTTTTTATTTACTTGGCCTGTGTTTTATTTCCCCTCAACAGATCAAATCACCCGTAACTGAAAAGAGTAATGGCTCCTTGCTTTCCAGCCCATCTGTGTCATCTTCTTCCAACCAGGTACTCGGGTTTTTGTTTTTTTTTTGAAGTTCTGCTCACATTTTGCAATATCATAATGCTGCTGTTTGCGTCATGATATTCACACCGGGTTCCCTATTGCCGTGGATCCACTTTGCTTGATGGTCACCAGGCTTTTAGCATTTTGAAATGAATTGATGGCGTTATTGAGGAGAAACTATTTTTTGAGATAAACAAACTGTCCCAACTGTCCTACTTTACTGCTAAGCATTGATGGTACAGAGGCTTCCAACTTTTGTCACTGCGGTTATGTGGTAATGTCCTTCCTCGTTGTGTTTCTAGAAACCACTGCTCTGTTGTCCTGTTGAATATCCTGGTTTGATTGTGTGAGTAAAGCTTGATTACTTAAGAGCTTTACTCATAGATGTTTTCTTGATGTTGCAACATGGATGATTGTAATGCTGCTTTATTTCTGATCTATAAAGAGGATCTATTTGCGCTGCAAATTTACTGAGAAGTTATATTTTTCTATAAACTTGTGTTCTGTGCATCTTGTGCTGCAGAATTGAGGAAAGTCTCAAGTTTCCCTTTGAGCACAATAGCTAAAAATAGATCTTAAAGTATTAACAAATGCATTCACATGCTGTAACAAACAACTAAACAGTTTTTTTGCTTTTTTGTAGGTAATTTATAACTGAAACAACAGTAATGAACATTCCCTTTGATATTTACCTTGCATTACACTCTATGGAATTACAGTCCTTATAGCAATTGGTCTACTGTTGCCCTCAGCTTCTAATGAGTTCCTGCATCCCTGTTTCACCAAGTAGTAACTTAGAGTAACTATTTCCAAGTGCTTCTTTTTAGATTTTGGAAAGATCCTTTAAATTCAGCAGCTACGGTAAAGCCTGTTACAGTGATTCTTGCCCCTGACCAAGACAAAGCAAATCTCCCAGAATCCACAGAGACTGTACTAGTTTGCAAAGTCAAGAAGCCGTTTCTCTCTGCTGATCATACAGAACCCCTACTGCTTCAATGTGATTTGTAGGGAAGCTGCTAACCGGATCTTGGAAATAGCTTCCTCTGTCCTCTTCCCCATGACAATGTGAAATGTATGAACTGTGTATTTGGTTAGAGGTACTAATTAGCCATTTTTCACCCTAACTCTCCTTTCATCTTGAAAGTAAGATTTCTTTCTTTACTTCTGGGATGTAGGCAGCATTTATTGACCATCGCTAGTTGCCCTTTAGATGATTGTAGTCAGCTGCCTTCTTGATCTGCTGTAGTCCATTTGGTATAGGTAGAAGCACAATGCAATGAAGGGAGGGACTTCTAGGTTTTTGACCCAGCAACACTGAAGGTTCTAAGTCAGGATGGTGAGTGGCTTGGAGGGGATCTTGGTGATGTTCCCATGTATCTGCTGCCCTTCACCTTTTAGGTGATAGTGGCCATGGGTTCAAAGGCACTGTCTAAGGAGCCTTTGTGAATTTCTGCAGTGCATCTTGTGGATGGTGCATATTGCTGCTACTGAGCATCGCTGATTGAGGGAGTGGATGTTTGTGTATTTGGTGCTGATCAAATAGGCTGCTTTGTCCTGGATGAAGTCAGAAGTCGCATGACGCCAAGTTATAGTCCAACAGGTTTATTTGAAATCACAAGCTTGTGGAATGCTGCTCCTTCAGCATATCCGTTTACTACGTGATGCTATTAACATCTTTCCGGAATTTGGGAGACTCGTAAATTAAGTCTTGCTGCCATTATCTTGAAGCACCTTCCACCTTGCCAGTAAAACAATCCAAGTCTTCCATTAATCTGTGGCAATCAAATCACCCAGGCTTACTGTCAAGCAGACTTCAGAACAGGACACGTGAGACCCTTTATTCAAAAAGAGCCCCCAAAACACCATCTCATAAATCTCTTAATTGTAACATAACATCTTCTGAGATTTGAGCTGTCTGAATGACCAACCGTGGTGAGCAGCAAAAACAGTTTGACCTTGTGCGTTTTCTTTTCAAACATAACAACACTTTTATAGTACATGCATTCAACAATGTGTTGCTGTCTCTTTAGGTTCCCTGACATTAATGAAATGTTATTTAGACAGCTAAAAGAGAAACAGAACATGGTCGAAACAAACGCATTATGTTAGGTAACATCTATATGGAAATACATGATGATGATTGACTGGTGTCTTTGTTGGTGGAATTCCTTGGGATCTATAATAGCAAGAATCCTTGAGTTAAAATGATAATTCTCACTATTGTTGAAGCTGCCTTGGCACTAATACATTACCAGGTCTTGAGCACTCACCCCAGTGATAGTCCATTATGATTTTGCTGACAGCTGAATTTTTTTCTTACTTAGTTCCACATAAACCTACAACCAATATTTTTAACCAATGAATTGACCTTAAGCTGCTTGTTGCATTTCACTTACCAAATCTACTATGCTAAACTGTTTTAATTAGTAAAATCCAGCAGTATCACCATACTTATAATGGGGCAAGGATGAAAGGGGAATCCCTAAGTCTTGTTCTGCTCATCACAAGGCATTTAGATAAAGCCTGTTTTCCCAACTGGCAAATAGAGATACTGCTAATGTGAAATTCCATATCAGTTCGAATGGAGACAGCTGGCAAAAATGGTTTTATTTGCATATACATAAACAAAATTGGTGGAATGTATTCAATTTCGACCTAGAGAAAACATTTTTGTCTTCTGGCATTGTAAGAGTATGATTTCAGTTTGTCTTGTGTCTCTCTACTTTGTATTTGTAACACTTATTTTAAAATGCTTTGATCCATAATAGGATTTACAGTAATGTGGAGAGAATGTGTAGGTTTAAACACTGTAAACATGAATGTTGAGTTTTATGATCATGAACAGATCTTTTTGTTATGCTTATTATTAAACAGTTTTTTTGCTTTGCCTGGTCAGTTGAAATGAAGTGTAACTTTGCTTACTGTAATTCAAATGTTGGTTAAGTGTAAAGCTAAGGAGATTTGGGAATACTATCAGTGTTGAAACAAAAACCGATGTAGAATGGTGTCTTTAACTTGGAACCTTCATGTCAATTGCAGTACCGTAGGAAGCTGTTCAGTGCCTTGAGTCTGTAAAGGTCTGTGAAGCAATCCAGTTAGTCACATTTCTTCCATTTCATCCCTGTAGACCTGCAAGTTCATTTCCTTCAAGCACATGTCTCATTTCCTTGAAATTGCTCATTGTCTCTGCTTTTACCTTGTTGGCAGAAAGTTCCAAGTCATTAACACTCAGTGTTAATTTAAAATAAAATTCTTCCTCCGTTCCCTTTGCTTCTCCTCTTGTCCAATTCTCCATCCCCGAGTCCTTGTGCCATCAGATGATGAAGAACAGTTTTTCCCTTGTTGTCCTTTGTAGTGAGGTCAGTCAGGTAGACCTCCGTAGAATGAGTTCCCTGATTGCAGCTGTTAATCTGGTCCAATCCGAGAGCCCTGGCTGAGAGATAACAGGACTGTCAGAGGTTCTGTTTTGCTTTGAGAGCTGACTCTGAGGGAGCTGAATCAGAGTCAAGGACTCGCCACATTTCAATAAGGGTGACTTGGTTATGGGATATTGGTCTCTGTGGAGTTATTTCAACCTTATCAAAACCTGTCGTAATCTTATCGACCACTGTCCATTCTCCTCTGTCTGCTTTGTCCCAAGAAGAAAAATCTCAGCTTCTTCAACTTAATATTTATTGCTGAAATCTCCCATCTTTGGGCCAATTCAGGTAAATCTTTTCTGCACCCTTTGAAGGACCTTTAACATTGTTCCTAAAGTGTGGTGAACAACTAGATATAATGCCTTGGTGTGGTCTAACTAAACATTTTCTAAAGTCTCAGCATAATTTCTATGCTTTTGTACTCAGAGCATCTATTTATGAAGCCCAAGTTTGAATGTTTTTTGTGTTACAATCCTGCCAATGACCATTTATTGAACAGAGATATCTTAACACCTCGTGATTCACTGATCAACATGCAAGATTTCACATTTTTATGCCAGAACAAATTTTATTATTTAGGAAATTTAAGTTAGATCACATGGGATTGAGCGTTCGTTTGCTAATTGGATACAAAATTGGCTTGACGGTAGGACACAGAGGGTGGTGGTGGAGGATTGTTTTTTTTTGGACAGGAGGCCTGTGACCAGTGGTATTCCACAGGGATTGGTACGGGGTCCACTTTAGTTTTTCATTTTATATAAATGATTTGGATAAGAATATAGAAGGCATGGTTAATACATTTGCGGATGACACCAAAATTGGTGGTATTGTGGACAGTGAGAAAGGTTTCTTGGAGTACAAAGAGATCTTGATCAATTGGGTGAAAGGGCTGAGGAGGGCAGATGGAGTTTAATTTAGATAAATGGAAGTTATAGCATTTTGGTGAAAGAAACAAGGGCAGGACTTGTACAATTTATGGTCGGACCCTGGGTAGTGTCGTAGAGCAGAGAGACCTAGGAGCTCAAGTACATAATTCTTTGAAATTTGTATCACAGGTAGATGAGGTGGTTAAGAAGGCATTTAGCATGCTTGCCTTCATTGTTCAGACCTTTGAGAATAGGAGTTGGGAGGTCATGTTGAGTTTGTACAGGATGTTGGTGAGGCTTCTGGAGTGCTGTGTACAGTTCTGGTTGCCCTACCTTGGAAGGATATTATCAAACTGGAGAAGGTTCCAAAAAAAATTACCAGGATGTTGCCAAGAATGGAGGGCTTGAGTTGTAAAAATGGGCAGGATAGGCTAGAACATTTTTCACTAGAGCGTAGGAGGTTGAGGGGTGACCTTATAGAAGTTTGTAAAATCGTGAGAGGCATAGATAAGGTGAATAGCAAAGGTCTTTTCCCTAGGTTGGGGAAGTTCAAAAGTAGGTGTATTTTTAAGCTGAGAGGAGAAAGATTTAAAAATGACGTGGGGCCAGATTTTTTTTAACAGTGTGAAATAAAAACCAAAAGAACTGCGGATGCTGTAAATCAGGAACAAAAACAAAGTTGCTGGAAAAGCTCAGCAGGTCTGGCAGCATCTGTGAAGGA